CGCCTCTTTCCGCTTTCCGGTGTTAAAGTCAATCCACGGTTTCAACCAACAGCGTTGTTTGAACTTCACCGCTCTATGTATTTGTTTCAGTTTCATCCCCTTGTTCAGGTAATACTGTAAAGCCTTGATATGGACTACATACTTTTCTTTGTCCATAACATTCAGTATAAGTTTTGGTTGCTTCTCATCCTTTGCTTCCTTGCCGTTGTAGTAGTGTTTGTGTAGTGTCATCTGATGTTCTGAAAGGAACTCCGCCTTGACATTCATATTTTCAGGTGCTAATGGATAATCTGAATGTTCATCGTGTAGTTCCTTTGGATAATCTAAATCCACTTCCAGTATGTAGGCGTTGTCATCGTTCTCGTTCCAGTCCATTATGTTCTTTTCTGTCAGCATCTTCTTTATCCACTTGAGTTTTCCTATTGGGAGTTTCATTGACATTGCCAGTCCATACAGGTTATTGGCGTCTAAATAGTTGATGAAGTTTGATGCCTTTGTTTCATCATAATCTTCACCCATATACTTGTTGTTCGCCTTTGCTTCCTTATGACTGACTTGGCACATGCCACCACGAAGCCCCTTCTCTATCATCTCATACATCTCTTGGTCAGTCAATGGTTCTAACTCCACTCCGGTTTTAAGAAGCATCGCATCCCAAGCAAAGTTAGGAAGGGTGAAGTAGTGCGCAGGGTCTAAACCATAGTATTCTAAACAAAGGTCTCTAAAATTTTCAAAGACATCGGTTAATAAAAGAACGTCGGTTTTCAAATACAAATCGTGGTATTGTCCAAGATTTCTTATACCAAAGTGTTCCCAAATTTTCTTTGCTCTTTCGTAGTCTTCATCCGATATATGTTCTTTGGTGAGATTGCTGTAGAAGGCTTCCTTTGGTGGAAGTTGCCTGTCTCTGAACTTGTCAAAGGAAGTGAAGTAATCGTATGGATAAACACCTTTGTCGGTGAGTAAGTCCAAATCCTCGTCATTACTGACATAGGGGTTTCGCTTACTGAACTTGAACTTTTCTTGCCAGTTCTTTTTCTTCTGTCCGTCTTCATACTTACTCAACTTGACCAGTTTATCCAAGGAAGACGATAAGAAGGAAAAACTGTCTTTAAAGCACATATTCTTAAAAGCGAAGGTTATGAACTTTTCACTGTTCTGCGCTATTACATCTATCCTCGCTCTCTCTGACAGTTCATTAGCCCTTTCAATGATTAAATGACTGTCGTAGTTCTTAAGGTTATGTAGGAAGACGGGGATTTTGTAGTATCTCATCGCGCATTGTAAATTACAATCTTGATGTGCGCAACCCCTGTATCTACCCGTAAAATGGCAATGGTCTCTACACTTAACATCTCCTGCCAAGAATGGATTACCACAAACAAAGCAGTGAGTTGCCAATTGAAAATCCCTCGCGTTGTTTGCGTTAAATATTATTGGCTTGTTTTCTTTCATCTTATCCATTATTTTATCCTTAACCTCTATCATCTTTTTCACGAAGACATCCATACAGTCCTCACCCCTGTAAAGGAATGGTTCTGATGACCCATCAATTGAATTGACAACGTTTATCATAAAACCGCAGGGTCTATGATGTTGGTATCTATCAGTTTTAATCTCTTTAGTGCTCACCGTTCCAGTTCTTGTAGTCAAACATTCAAAATCCGCATATATCACGAACGGCGCTTTCAGTTTCTTATAGTGATTTTTGAACCTAATGAAAAACTTGTCAGGCTTTGTAGGGTCAAACTTTGGCATCACTACTTTTTGACCTTCAACCGCCATACATCCTCTTTCAATGTGTTCTTCTAACAGGTATTCTTCTTCAAAGGGTCGATGGCAATGACGACATATCCATTTCTTTGCTTTGTGCTTACTTGCTTGTTTATACATCAACTTGTTGAAATCCTTGATGAAGACATAGTGGTAGTTGTCTCCATCCTCCAGTTTGAGAAGGTCTATGTGATGAGTTGATTTTACAACCTTGGACTTTCTATACAGCAGTATGGATTGTTTGCCTTCGTCGGGGTCAATGAAATAAACATTCACTGACACCTTGCCTTCGTTGTTTTGTTCAAAGGTGTCTATATCAACATTGGATGAAGGAAACTTTACATTCTCCCAGTTCAGGGTGTCTTCTATCTTCTTGTAGTGATACATTCTGTTCGGGTGGTCTTCTTCATATATCTTATGAACGCCACACTGAACGGAATACATAAAACACTTGTTGTCTTCGTTTTGGATGTTGATACAGGCTTTCTTGCTCTGAACCCATTTAGGTAATGGAAGGAACGAACCACCACGAGTAGGATTGAATTTGTCATAGTGAAATCTTAACTTGTCAAACTGTTTGATGACTAATCCGCTCTCACTCAATTCCATTCTGTCTGTTTGAAACTCTATGTCGGTTGCTATTTGAGAAAGGATGCTCACTATCTCATCTGCGTTGGTGATTTCGTATCTTCTACTCCTTATTGTAGGTCTAATATCATCGTCGGTCTTCTTGCTTTTGAATGTCCCGTATGCTTCCATCATAATCTTCATTCCCTTATGTTTGTTCAGGTATTCCTTCAGTCTTTGGTCTTGGTATTTGAGATACTGAAGGGCTTTAACGCCCTTGACTTTGATATTACTGATGGAATATGAATTCACATAGTTCTTGAAAGCAGATTGTTCATCAGTGATGTCGGCTTTGAACCTCTTTTGGATGCTTACCAGTGCTTTGTTCTTGTCCAGTCTTGTCCATTTAATACCTCGTTTTGTTTCCAGTTCGTATTTCTTGTATCCCATAGTTTGTTTAACAGTGGTGAGTTTTCGTTTCAGTCTGTCGGTGAGTGGTTTTGTCTTGTCATAGTTGTAGGTTTTGTCCCCTATCTTGAGTTTCTTTAGTTCTCTTCCGTTCTCTTTGAGGACTTCCCCCTTTTTGGATGTAAGTAGGTAATCTAATACAATCTGCTCTGAACGACTTGTCATAATAGTAAGGTCTATACTACTATTATGCGATGTTTCTTTAAGTAGGATTTGAGGTGATGTTGATGGGGATTTTGACGGTTGAAGGTTGCGTTGATGATGTTGGACTTCATCATTAAAACGTGAGGTTTCAATGTTTAATCTTGTATCCTCTGCCATATACTCCTTACCCTATAAGGTGGCAAGTCTTTAAGTAGTTTTGGGCTGGGGTCTGGGGTTCAGGTTTTGGGGACTTGGGTTGAACCTCAACGCTTCATCAATGGCGTCGGTTGCTCATACACACGTTGGTCTGGCGATGTTTTGACAGGTTGGATTTTGATGAGATGGTGCGTCCGCAGTCCGGACACTTGAACGGAATTTTGAGTTTCTTTTGATAATAATGTTTGAAATAATCTTAATCTAATGGTTTTTTGTCATAAGTTCCGTCCGGTTTCCATCTGCTTTGAGTGTTTCGTGGTGTGTTGTTTGGAGTGGTTGGTTGATTGAGGGCTTCAACCATTTGGTCAAAGACATCCTCGTCCATTTCTTGTTTTTTTCCGTCGATATACAAATAACAAGGCATCCTATCTTAATTCTATTAGGCGACATTTCTTTAAGTGATTTTGGGGTGTTGTGTTGAAAAGGTGGTGAGGTGTCTGCCACGAAATCTTCACTCATAAATTCCTGCTCCTTCCACGAATCACGAAATCTTCACTTTCCAATCCCTGTTCCTGCCACACTTTGGGGGATTTAGTTAAACCGAAGAACGGATGGGAGTAATGTAAAAATTTTAAAACTGTCATCACTCCCAAAGGAACTCGGTTATCTACTATAAGATATTCATATGGGGGTGGTCATTTAAGACCTTATCCTACACAGAAGGAATGATGATGATTTGACGGGTATGCTTTTGGGTCAATGCCACTGCGCTCCCCGTCATCACCACCACCCCTTCTGTTATGACCTACTTTTTTATATATATATATATAAAATCAAAAAACCGAATTAAAACAAAAACAAAAATCATCTCGTCTCTGGGGGGTCTGACCGGTGGGGGTTGTGTTTCCACCAATGGGCTCTTTGCCTCTCCCCCATCCGGTCAGCCCCCCTTTCTTCTTCCTCCTTCTTCGTCGTAAAAAAAAAGAAGCAAAAACAAACAATCGCAACGACGCAACGCCAACGCCGACGCATCCCCCGACCCCCCTGAAGTGGATGAAGACCTCCCTTCTGACCAAGCAGGACGGACGATAGAACAATAGATAGGTAGATAGAGAGATAGATGTATATAGGTCAATCCAATCTACGCTATATTTAGTGAATTTAGTGGAAGTGTTTGCCAAATGTCAGGCTTTGAGAGGTTGCTTGGATAAGCCACTTGTTCCACTGTTCAAGTGTCAAACTCTGGAGTTTCTTAGGTTAAGCCACTCCCTCCAAATTCTGGCTTATATAGAAGTCAAACTCTGAAGTTTCCCGTCTCTCCACCCCTTCAAGAAGTTCTTATCCCTGATGTCTTCTTAACCTCAGCGTGGGCAAAGCGCAGGAAATTGAAGTGGGCAAAGCACAGGTGCCGACGATGACACATCAAGAAAGAAGCAGTGTCCAGTTAGGATACTTTTTATCGCTGGCGATGATGAGTTCACACGTCTTTACTGTCGGTTGGATGGACTTATAAAGTGCTAAATGCCATCGGAACGGACGGCGTTTCAAGCAAAGGCTTGAGGAAACGACACCGATATAGTCCAAATGGTGTCAAATTAATGACGCCAAGGGCTTCTGTGCTGTGCCAATGGGTCGTGCAATGCGAACCCCAACATCTTGTGCGTTGATACTCTGTTTGGGATATCATTGATACTTGGTTCTGGGTATCAGTGATACTTGGATACTGGTATAGGGGTATCATTGATACTTGGTTCTGGGTATCATTGATACTTGGATACTGGTATCTGGGTATCATTGATACTTGGTTCTAGGTATCGTTGATACTTGGTTCTGGGTATCGTTGATACTTGGATACTGGTATCGGGGTATCATTGATATTTGCTTCTGGGTATCGTTGATACTTGTATACTGGTATGTGGGTATCATTGATACTTGGTTCTGGGTGTCATTGATATGTGGATACTGGTGTCAGGGTATCATTGATTCATACTTAGTATTCAAATAAAGCTTTGATCGTTGCAGTTGTCTTGGAAAGTTGTTTGACAACACCACTTCTCAAAGTCTGCTTGACAAGTCCTCGTGAAGCAAGAGAATGCCGATTTTCTCCATTCACCCTGTCTGTGAAACAGTCTTTTGAAGGTGCTTCCAAAATCATGGGGGTTGTGTTTCCCCGGCAGTCTTCTGCTGCTTGATAGAGCTTAAGAGTCTGCCAACCATGAAATGGTTCCATTTGTCACAAGACTCTGAAAATGCGTTTGCGAATTCAATTGGGTCGGGCAGAGGCTGATCATCTTCCTTATGCTTCTGCCATGCCATCCTGGCTTTTAAAAACAGCGCACGAAGGAAGGGCGGTGGCTGGATCCAAAAGTCGCGCTCATGCAAGTCCCGAAACTTCAACGGTTTCAGTTTCAGCCCCGCCTTCTTCACAAAAACCGGTTCTGAGCCGCCATTTCTGTCAATGTAATTCACGGTCGTTTCCTTCAATTCTTGGCTGACATAGATTTTGAAGTTCACCGCTCCGCCGCCTCTCCCCACAGGAATCAAAGACCAATCTCCATCTTGAAATGTATGTTCTAAATGGCGAAGAAGCAGTAGGCTATTGCGAGCACTGTCGATTTGAATGCCCAATTCATTCTGGACGAAGTGCCAGCCATTCTTGGGAATAATGTGCTCAGCGACGGCTGGAAAGGTTGACTCCCAACCCGTTGCATCTAACCACCACGGCTGCGCACGAAAGTCCTCCGGGAAAAGTTTCTGGAGAACAAGGCAACTCTTTGTGTTGTAGTATTCCACTGCATTCCTATGCCACTCACCATCAAGTGTGGTTGATGAGTAGTGTGAAACCGGTGTCAAAGTAAATCGGTTCAAGAAGGCTTCCATCAGCAGGGCTTCATTTTTTGCCACCTGCTCCAACTGCTCCTTGAGCTCGTCCAGCTTCTTCACGAGAATATGTTCCGAAGATTGAACTGAGGTGCCTTGCATCTGCTTCACTGCATCCAACCGAGCATCACGCATCCGCTCAGCACTCTGCACATTCCGCTCAGCACTCTGCACAATATTCTCGTGGATGTCTTTGTCTTTATCTGCAGCCGATAGCAAGGCGTGTTGTGCCTTTTTCAATTCAGCCTGTGCCTCTTTCAATTCAGCCTGTGCTTCTTTCAATTCAGCCTGTGCCTGCTTCAACCTTGGACTCTCTGAACTCCTTCCAGCATCCTCTTCCATGGCAACCGTGAGGGGAAAGAAATTTTGAAAAGCAAAACATGACCATTTGCACTTGAGTTAGATGTCTGCTCACGAAGGCACAACTGGTTTTGTGCAATCTCTTAGGGCAACGCCTGTGTCCAGTGCCACAATGTCATTTGCAAAGCAGGGGGGGACTTTTTGTTCAAGCGCACCCACTGCACTCTGGGAAACCCGGCATGAAAATTACGAAGAAGCCGTTGAAGTCCACAAAGATTGAGAGTAGGACGGAGTTCCGTTGGGCAGTCCGCCAAAAAAACTGAAACAGTTTATGCATTGAGCAGAATATATGTGGCCTCATCTGAACAAAACATAAACTGCAACAGCAACAACAAAAAACAGAACGAACTTCCTAACGAACAGAAACCATCCTGAAAGAAAACGAAACAACCTAAACAATCAGCCTCCTCGTTGAATATCACCGAACAGAGTGATTTTTGGCACCAAATTTTCCCCAGAAACCCCCAGAGAATAACGACAAAGGCTCAACAAACATTTTCAAGAGCCAAAAAAATTCAACGAGGAGGATGATGAACAAAAACTCCCCAGAACCCCCCTTTTACCATTTTTTTCCCCGCAGGTGCATTGGCTGTATGAAAGAGATCAATTTGGAGGACTTTATGTTTGGCTAGCATCTTCCAAAGCTTTGGACATTTGTGGAGTCCAGGAACATGAGCGATCTGCCAAACCGGCCCTGCCTTCTTGCCTACGTCGTCAGGGGAGCTTTCGTCCCAGCCTGGCCATTGGCTTAACGACGCCGTCATTGAGCGAGGCTTTCGCAGGTGAAAGTAGATCAAACGGGTTGAGGGCCTCTAATGTACGGTACATGCATCCTCAAATCTTGGGCAAAGGAAAAAAAGAGCACAGAAGCAGGAAAAATCATAACTCTTCCCTCAGAACATAATGTCTTTTGGCATGGTTGTCCCGCAATACTCCCCAAGCCGTGCGAGGCGCCAAGGGAACCATCTGTGTCTGAATGTTAAAACCCAATCACGCAATTCCAGCATGACAAAGGCGTTGAAGCAGTGGAACCTATCGGATAACTCTGTTTCTTTCAATTTTTGCATTCCACCAGCTTCAAACGTATGGGATTAGGATATTGAGGCTTGGGAGTCTCTCCAATTGACAAAAGTCTCGAAGGCTGTCAGTCCATTGAGTGCTCACCCTAATTAGGCCAAATGTGGCCAAATAACTGGCCAAATAGATTACTTATGATTACTGTTTAAGGCTTTGATAACCTTTTAAACGCATACATTCCCAGCCACTCTTCGCTCGGCGAAAATACGCCGCCAGCTCTTTGGGCCGCACCTGGAGGCCCGGCGACCATTGGCGCGAAGAGTGGCCGGTGGACGTTGTGCACCTGCGTCAAGCGACTGGGTTTCAAGCGATCAATGATCAATGACCTCCAACCTAATAGCCATGGTCTCCAACCTAATAGCGATGACCTCCAACCTAATAACGATGACCTCCAACCTAATAGCGATGGTCTCCATGGTCTCCACCCTAATGGCGATGGCCTCCAACCTCCAACCTAATAGCGATGACCTCCAACCTAATAGCGATGGTCTCCAACCTAACAGCGATGACCTCCAACCTATATAGCGATGGTCTCCAACCTAACAGCTTGGTCTCCAACCTAATAGCGATGACCTCCAACCAAGAAGCGATGGCCTCCAACCTAAAAGCGATGGTTTCCAACCTAATAGCGATGGCCTCCAACCTAATAGCTATAGCGATGGTCTCTGACCTAATAGCGATGGCCTTGAACCTAATAGCGATGGCCTCCAACCAAGAAGCGATGGCCTCCAGCTATATAGCGATGGT